CTGTTGTCAGAACAGTACACTTTCAAGTCTAACATTTTTTTAAATATAATTATTGTGATAATTTCACATTAAATAAAATGTTTTAACTTATTTGATCAATTTATTTCTAATAATTGAAAAATAGTTTCCATGTCCTCCTACCCCTCCCCTACTAAAATATGAAATGATTGTTCCCAAACTATCAGTGTATTTTTCATGAAGGAATTGACTTTCTGGTTTAGACATCGTCCATGCATGCACATATTATCACATCAAGGATTTATATAGTAAACAAGACGGATTTAGGGGGGAAGGTGTCTCGGCACCCCTTTATGGAGATTCATACTCATAGATGATACATGCATAGAGACTTTTTACAAGTATCACTTGAAACGATGGCTTACCAGCCCCAGCCCAACACCCCCCCCCCCCCCCCCCCTTTTTTTTCAAAATTCTGGATCCGAACCTGATAAATCTTTGACCACTAATGGCATAATTTAGAACAAAACAATCTACGAAAAACAAATATGACAGACATAAACAGTACTGACTTGAGACATGTCCATAACTTAAGTTGATCACAGAATGTTGTATCTGGTAAACTCCGGTATAAAAATACTTCTTCAGATAATGATATTGTCACTGAGTAATCCAAATAGTTTACCTGTTAATGAACACCCAAGGAACTTCTCGTACTGTATTAATGTCATTTCAACGAGTATTATTTTTGATATTCAATTGCGTATATGATAAAAGTATAATTCATTTACTGCTTAAACTTCAATATACTACAAAAACAAATATTTTTGATTCAACTTAATTTTAATTACAGAAAAAATAAAGAGACTTACATTCACCAAAAGTGAAACTGTCACTATTTTTAACATGTTATACTTTTATCTAAAATGATATTTGCTGAAAAAGGAAAATATATAAATGCACCCGGAATTCCTCATCAACAAGAACTGTTCTACATCATGATCACAGCTCATTTAGAACTGTTGTACCCTTAAAAAACAGATTACAACAGTTCTAACTTAACGGCACGAAAAAGATGTTTGCAATGTCAAGTTCAGTTGCTGACTTTGGCAATATTTCTCTAAATTTGTTCTTTGTCAGAAATACAACCACATATCATACTTCAAATGATAGACCACTTGGGTTAAACAAGTTTGAGTTATACAAATCAACGAACGGTTTCAGCTTTACGATTATAACGCTTGTGTCTTGGTTCTGGCTGTGACTATCGTACTAACAGGTTCTGTATATCTATCACTTAAATTACAGGATCCACGACATGGTAGGTTCATTAAGAGTCAGAGCGGGTATGGATTTTTGGTTAATGCTGAAGAAATGGGTGTTAAATCAAATAAAGAGCGGCGCCCGTCGCTTTTTCGACGAATAAAGTTCCATAACTCATATCAGAAATTTATAAAAAAAAAAAAAAAAAAGGAGCTTATTTTAATAGATATAAACCAGTCACCAAAGTTTCATGCAAACTGCTCAAAGTATTTTTGAGTTATTGTCCGAAAAAATTCCACTTTTTCATGAATAAAGTTCCAATACTCCAAAATGTAAAATCAGAAATTTTAAAAAATTGAAAGGGAACTTATGTCAATATATGTAAACAATTCACTAAAATTTCATCAAAATTGGTTAACGAATTTTTGAGTTCATATTGTCCGACATGTTGACGACGGACTGACGGACAACGGTATACCACATTAATACGTCCTGTAAACGGGTATATAAAAACAAAACAATGTAAACAAAATCAAAATTTGAAGAGCGGGGCATTGAATTTATGATGTTACTAAAAATCAGAACGAAAAACAAATCATTTGGATTTTGGCACTACAGTAGCACAAAATAAAGAGCTGCGCCATGAGCACATGATACGCCCGTCGTTTTTTCAAAGAATACTGTTCCATAACTCCTCAATCAGAAATTTATAAAAAAAAATAAAGGGAGTTTTTTTTAAAAGATATAAAGCAGGGGCCTGTTTATCGAAGCGCTCTAAGGACTAGGATATGTCCTAAGATCATCTTTGGACGTATCTTTGTCCTAAGTGCGTTTATCAAACATGTCGTAACTTGGGAAAGGTCATAGGATTCGTCCTAACTTTATGACATCTAAGAAGTTGTCTTAAGATGGTCTTAGGATGGTCCTTACTCTAGGATATATTTTATGATGGTTAATTTCTAAACAAATACGACCGCCACCGATATATGGATCCCCCTTTTTCTAAATATTTTTCTATTTTCACTTATTTAATGTGTTCTTGCTCTTATCCAAAAGATATTACAAAAACAGTAGTATGTATATGACCATCTCCACGTGGAAAATAAGAATAGAGGAGCATCGTATATAAATTTTATATGAATTTCAGACGACATCGAGTGTGCAAAAACTCAAACTTTAGAATCTATAAACAATTTGAATTGTGTGGGATAGCGACCTGGTTTAATGACATTGACATTGTTAAGCAGCGAGTTTTCAATGTGATACATTTAAAACTAATGTCCGACTTCAAACAGAAATGGAATGAAGATTTGCATAGTGACACTACTAAACAAAATGGACCAGGGGGTAAGATAAACAAAACTACGTACATATAGAACATTTAAACAGGATGTATATACAGAACTTTACCTAAATAAACTTATTATACCATCACACCGAAGAGCTTATTCTCAGTTTCGCTGCGGTGTTGCCCCAATACGGGTGGAGACAGGATGCTACGAGAGTTTCCCAATAGACCAAAGAACTTGTTTTGTTTGTGACGATAAAATTGAAACGGACGAGCATGTATTGACTGAGTGTCCGTTGTACGGCAATCTTAGAGACGAAATGTATAAGATTTTAAATTTTGAAAACGAAAATTTCAGTCTTTGGCCTAATTCAGTGAAACTTTCATTTATTTTAGCGAATGACAATATTAATGTGATACAAAAATGTGCCAAAACCTGCAAACTTATTTAAGACCGTTGGAGACGTTTTTTTTTACCGATAATAGATGTAAATAGATATAAGAAGATGTGGTATGAGTGCCAATGAGACAACTCTTCATCCAAGTCAAAATTTATAAAAGTAAACCATTATAGGTCAAAGTACGGTCTTCAACACGGAGCCTTGGCTCACACCGAACAGCAAGCTATAAAGGGCCCCAAAAATTACTAGTGTAAAACCATTCAAACGGGAAAACCAACGGTCAAATCTATATAAAAAACGAGAAACGAGAAACACTTATGTACAACATCAACGAACGGCAACTACTGAACATCAGATTCCTGACTTAGGACAGGTGCAAACAACTGCAGCGGGTTTAAACGTTTTAATGGTACCAAACCTTCACCCTTTTTCCGAAACAACAGTGTAACATCACAACATAGAAAGACACACTATAAAATATCAATTGAAATAGCTTAACTCAATCAAAGGACATATTAACACCAGTGAACATACACTGAATAAATAAATTTGACCTATGATACAATGTTAATACAAAATAAATAAACTAAGGGAAGAATAATAAAAGTAACATGTTATATCGGTATGAAATGTTAAACAATTTAAGAAAAACAATATGCTTGAACAAAAATATGTTTTATGATTTACCTTTTGTTTTATAATAGCTTTTTGAGAATGTGTAAATACTAGTTCCTTTTTAATCCGTTTCTCATAATTCTTTTTAGAATGGCATTAATATTTTTTTTAAAAGTTTACTTTTACAATGTGAAATGTGTATACTGTATTATTGATGTTGAGACGTTAATAAATTATTGTTGTATTGTATTGTATATATATAAAAAAACATAAAATAAATGGACATAGGTTGAAATATTAAAGTTTATTTACTTTTTAAAAAAGTTCAGAAAAAGGACCAAAGCGCATGTGATCCGTATTGAAATAATTTATGTATTCCGTATTTTTATGAAAGATGCACGAGATTTGCCAGAATAAAACCGTAATGCTTCGAATTAAACTCACTCAAAAATATATATTGATTGTTACCGATTGTCATTTATTAGTTTTCACTGTTACTGCTGTTTACAAACAATTTGCTCAATTATTATATAAAACGTTGTTACATTTTTTGTGATTTTGTTTTTGTTTCATAAAATTTGAATGTACCATTATCAGATAAATATTATTTCTATTCTTTATGATAGTACTAATAATATTTCTAATTTTTAATCTTGCAATTATTTACTACTGGTGAAATTCAGTGCATTCTTAAACATTTAACATTTTTAAATTCCTATTTTTCTTTACGCTAACACTTAGGACAGCGGTTAGGACATCCTAGCTAATATAGCCCTAAGATAGCTTCGATGTGCATGCTGAGACATGTTGTAAGTTGGTCCTAACATTATCCTTATTTATTCCTAAGAGAGGTCTTAGAACAAATCCTAGGACAGCTTCGATAAACAGGCCCAAGTCACCAAAGTTTCATGAAAACTGCTCAAAGCACTTTTGAGTTATTGTCCGAAAACTGGAAAATCACCCCTTTTTTTAATGAATAAAACCCAATAACTCGGAATCGTAAAATCTAAAATTTATAAAAATCGAAAAGGAGCTCACGTCAATAGATATTAACCATTCACCAGAGTTTAATGCAAATTGGTTAAAGCGTTTTTGAGTTACTGTCCGACATGTTGACGACGGACGGACTTACAACGGTATACCATAATACGTCCCGTAAACGGGCATATAAAAATAATGTTCGGGGAAATTAATCAATGACTTTTATACTTTTAAACAAAACTCTAAACTTTTTTCATGACGCTTCTTTATGTAAATACTGAGAACATTGGATGTACGTGCGTGACGTGACAGCTAAAACTCCAACGTCATTTAGTATTTGGAACAACACCGGAGATCAAAATTGTCATTTTTGTTGGTGTTGCTTGCTAGAAAAAGTTAATCAAAATCATCCTGAACGTAAGTTCACATGTTTCAACTCTTTTTTAATCGTGAAACAGATTGTATTCTAGAACGTCTTGTCTTGTTATACGTACCGTAATTTTCATCCGGATTAATCCTACTAGCCAAAAATTTTCATAAGTATGCATTGGCCAATACAACTCTGCTCCTAATTTTTTGCATGCTGCCTACAATGGAAAGAAATTACAGTATAAATACATGTATGTTCTAATTCGACAATAATTTGAGCTATTTTAACTGGAGATATTATTTTGAAAATGGTCAACTCCATATTGCGACTTTGCAGAAATTATAAACTATGCAATGGAATTGAGAATGGAAACGGGGAATGTGCCGGAGAGACACCCGACCAAAGAACAGAAAACAACCCAAAGCCACCAATGGGTCTTCAACGCATTGACAAAATCCCGCACCCGGAGTCGTTCTTCAGCTGGCCCCTACACAATTATTTATACTAGTTAAGCAAAATGTGCACCACATTAAACTCCGTGTTCTATTATTTTTTGAACGAAACATTTTCTTTTAAAGTAGGTACAAAGCTATATATATATACATTTATATTATGAAAGTTATTGTACTAAAAAATGGGAAAACCATACGGAGCTTAATTAAGTTATTTATTTATCAAAGACATCATATGTACATTTATATTTATATTATATTAATTGGCACAACAAAACCAAACCTCAAAAGAATTTTTAAGCATCCGGTCTTAATAGAAACGTTAAGAGGTGTTTTGATAAAGGACCAAATATGGCCACTATTTCAGCTAAAATTTCAAATAAGAATTCAATAGCTATTCAATATCATATTTAAACACATCATATTCAAAACAATGACAAGATAGAAATGTTTTTTTTTAAATGTATGCACAGCGTTCTTTTTATGATGTCACAATTAGAATTTAGACCAATTTCCGCCTATTTAAAAACCAGGGCAATTTCCAGTTTTCAGTACTGTAAAATAAAAACATGTAGCATGCGTCGGATCACAATCTTGCAATAATTTGATTTTTATTATAAAAAAAAATGTTAAACATATCTAACTGGAATGTTTAGTGTGGCGAAACCTGTACTTGTGTTTCCTATGCCCAAATTTCGTTGAAATCTAAACTATTTTGACAATAATGTTTCGCTAAATCTCTATGCTTGGCCTTTCAGGGCAGTAATTGCCAACGTTTCATTAAAAATGTTTGGCGAAAAATGTTCTATTTCACTTCTCTTGAAATAAAAGACTTGATAGTTGGTGCCAAAATAAGGCTCTAACCTTTATGAGATGTTTGATTTGTTATGCAAATTTATGTCGCTTTTCGGTAGTGAATCGTCTGTATTTGTTTAAGTGAATATAAAGATGTTTTAATCTTAGTTTTATATGTTTCATCAGAGACATATATACACATATGTGTACATATGTCTCTGGTTTCATGTAGATCTTTTCAAATAATTACAAATTATCCATTTGAATTTGTATCGAAGTTTTATGTACGTATATAGTCATCAAAAGCTGTCGTCTTCTTGTGCGATGAACCATATATCGTCTACATGGTCGTTCTGTCTGTATATCATAAGAGCCGAAGACAATATTCTAAGCATGATGTCTTAAGCAGATGGCAGATCGAGTCAGTCGTATGTCTGTTCACTTTTTCCACGAAAAAGGGAGAATACAAATTGGGTATATCACGACGTGAACTGTGTTTTGCCAAAAATTTATTGTTTAGCCAAACACAACTAAATTACAGTATGTATTTAAATTTACGTCTGTTTCACTTATAAAAGAAGTTGTGTAATTACATAAAATCTGCATGGACAATCAGATCACATATTGTTACTTAATGTTGCTTGTTTTCTTATTATGTATTTTGTGCATTGCTCTCTGCTGTTTATCATATGTCATGTTGTTAATATGTTTTCGTTGCTATAGCATAGTTAATGCTTTCTGCAATAAAGTATTCATTCATTCAACAGTGGAAACTGGATTGTTGAATTGTGAGCTACAAGTATTCTCGATTTTTCACTTAAGCTTTGGACAATTAATGCAAGCTGACTAAGAAATTGAAATATACTACATCTTTGATAATAAGCAGCGTTTGATACTTTTATATAAGCTTATAATGACTCAAGCTATTATAAATTCCTAAAAGCTCTCAGAATATAAAATGTAAATTTTTATTCAAGATCGCAACATTGTAAGCATTAATACATTATTATGGAAAATAGAGAAAAAATATGAAAACATAGTTAAATTAAGATTTACATCACAGTGCTAGATTATATCGAATTTTAAAATATTGGGAAATTACTTTTTTTTAAATATGAAAATCTAAATTTTGTAAGACAAAATATGTTTTGTTAAGGATGTATTCTTCTGAGGTTTCAGTTTCGTTGAAATCTCGTTCCGGAATTATTTCCAAAACATGTGATACAAGTGGAAAATATCAATGAATATAAAAAATATTATAATCAAACTAAACTGTGAAAAAATTGTGTACCTACAATAAGTAGTTTAAAGTAATAAAATTTTCAAATTTTTATAACCAATCAGGTAAGTGTCATCAGCCAAAATGTTAAGAAAATAGGTGAAGGTACAAAGAAATGATTTTACCAAAGATATGTACATCCCATATCAATTTTTTTTCTTTTCAAAATTCTTAGATATGTATTTTTTTCAATCATTTATAACAAAGAAGTTGAAATAATATGCTTATTGTTCTAAAAAAAAAGAGAAAAATCCCAAATTTACAAAATTGACAGCATGGTCAATTTGACACAAAAAAGCAACAAAATTTTATAAAACGTTCTAATATTAACACCAACCTATAGTTTTTTTTAGCTAAATTTATTCAGATTGTAACAAATTTATTAATTTTGTAAAAATTGTTTACTTCCGTTACGGCGTACTTAACAACAACATTTTTATATTAAAATTTACCTGTGTACGTTGTTTTTATTTAACGCCATTTTGTCCCAAGTAAGAGTTGTCTTATTGACACTCTTCCTACATCTTTTTTATTACTACCTGTAACGTCTATATTATATAGGCGCCTACGTTTTAATATTGTACTTATGTTGAGTCATAGGTCAATTGAAACTTATTCGTTCAGTGTATATTTTAAATTACTATTTTTTTTTAAATGTCTTTTGATCGGGTTCAGCCATTTCAATTAATATTTTATAGTGTGTTTTTTTATTTTGTAATGTTGTACTGCTGTCTCATGTTGGGGTATTTGTTGGCGCCTGTTAAAACGTTTAAATCCGCTGCATACTCCTGTCCTAAGTCAAAGACTGTTGTTCAGTGGTTGTCGTTTGTTGGTGTGGTTCATATGTGTTTCTTGTTTTTTTTATATAAATTAGACTGTTGGTTTTCCTGTTTGAATTGTTTTAAACTAGTAATTTTGGGGCCCTTGATAGCTTGCTGTTCGGTGTGAGCCAAGGCTCCGTGTTGAAGGCCGTACTTTGACCTATAATTGTTAACTTTTTATACATTGTGACTTGGATAGAGAGCTGTCTCATTGGCACTCATACCACACCAGGGTTATGTCAAAGAACCTCTCGTCCTTTTTCAAAAATAGTTCATCGGAAGATACCAAGACCTTGTTGATAAATATTCCGTATCAGCTTCACAAATAATACATGATGGTCTTGCAGTATAGATTCTAGGTACTGACGTTGTTTATCTTCTTAATTACGTGTTATAGGGTTCTTTTATTTGTCTTTATAAATTAAAATTATTAACCTTTTAATTCTATTAATCCGATAATGGACTTCGTATCTGCGTGTCAAAGTTAGTTTTTAGCAGATTATCTTAACAATGGACAATAATTGCTTAATCCATAGTTTCATGTATTTCTTTATTATTAGGTCTTTTATTGGTTTTCTTCTGATTATTAGGTCTTTCCACTTTTCTGTGGAAAGACCTATTGGTTTTCTTCTGATTATTAGGTCTTTCCACTTTTCGGTGGAAATACCTATTGTATTTGTTCTGATTATTATTATTAGGTCTTTCCACTTTTCTGTGGAAAGACCTATTGTATTTGTTCTGATTATTATTATTATTATTATTTTATTTTTTTTTTTTTTTCCGCCAACTTTTGAAATTTTTGTTTCGCAATATGTCGCTTAGATATTTCTCATATTGTATCGTATAGTTTATGCGCTTTTAAATTTCACCCTGCTAAGCCAAACAATTATCTTTGTAAGAGTTATCTCCCTACTCACTGTTTATCAAGTGTGTGCATCTCCTTCGTAACAAAAAAAGATATCGACAAAATTCTTTTTCTTAATTGTTCGTTACATCCTCAGGAATTTTTGGCTAATTTGGATCGAAGCGATTCGATGAAATTTTATAGGAGTTATCTACCTTTATCAAATAAATTTGTCGGTATGTTTTTTTAACTCATAAACAGTTAACCGTATAACCCTAGAATGTTTTTATTTGAGGCCCCTAGGTCCTAACTTAGAAAATGAAAACAAGGTCAAAGGTCCAGGTCAAGTTCTCAATTTTGATATTTCCTTGTTTTTGCATGTTCTCCAACACTTTTAAATATATCTATAAAAGAACAAGTGCAAAATGTTTGCTTAATTGTAATGAAGATATGTTACATTTGGTCTGAAACAATGTAATGGCATCTAATAGGAGTTAGTGCCCCTGAAATGTCCAATTATAAGGTTAATTGATTATTACTTCAACATGGTTCATTATAAAGCCATATGACCTTTTACAAAAGGTTGGATGACATATGACCTTGAAAATTGACAACCGGAAGTGACCTTGAGAAAACCGGAAGTAGCCATTTTTGCACTTTTTTCATGGAAAAGAACTAGAAATCCATATATTTTGTAATTTAGATACATTAACTTATCGCTAAAGTCAAGAAGTGACTTTTGATAAACCGGAAGTGGCCAATTATCTCCTTGTTTACAGGCAAAAGTATATATAAACTATATATTTTTGGAATCAGTGTGAAAAAAGCTATCATATGAGACCGGAAGTGACATTTACTTCACCGGAAGTAGCACATTATCTCCCTTATTTCACTCAAAAGTATATAGAAACCTCTTATTTATCGCATCAGTATGAAGAAACTTATCATGGGATGCCAATTTCAACTTTGAGTAAACAGTTATTACGATTTTGAAACTGACCCAGTTAAGCCGAACACTTTTTATTG